CGGCTCTGAGGCTCGGCGTGGTCTGGTTTCTGTCAGAGCCCAAATCCCCGGGCCTGGGTGGGCCTGCTCTGCCCGCAGCGTGCTCAAAGTTCAAAGGCTCCACAAGGGTGGCCCCCGAGAAGCTCCGAAGCGCCCCGACCCGCCCCTCCCACCAGCTTAACTGTGCTTTGAACCCCAGCTCCTCACGGATCTTGTTGTGGATTAGAGCCAAGGGCCTTCCTGGGCCCCGGGCAGTGGCTGCTGCACAAACAGGGCCTCCCCGCCCCGAGAGGTCACTGCCGGTCACGGCCCCCCCTGGCCCCCTGCCGCCGCCAGGCACACACTCACCAGCTGCACGTAGGCCACCTTGTAGTCCGGCTTCTTCACCCTGACGTTCCTGTGGTCCCTCTTCCTGTTGGAACCTGTCGGGGGGAGAAACCCTTGACTGCCAGCACGAAACTTTAAGTCCCACTAATCCAGGCGCCCACTTTCTAAAGAGACGGACCGGAGAGACTGGGTGCACGGGTGCCGGCAGGGCACACCCCACAGGCGGCCGTGCAACCTGCGGGCCATGCGGGGGGCGTGAGCCAGACCCCTCTCTGCTAAAACCCCCAGCACAGGGCTTCTCGGTCAGCACAGCGGCTCCTGCCGGCTCCTCGCCTCGGACCGAAGGCCTTCAGGTCTCCGGGGAGGAAGGGGGCCAGGAAGGAACAGGGCAGGCGAAGGGGTGCAGCCGCGCTCCGAGGGGCCTGTGGGGCCGGCCGCCAGCTCTGCTCAGGCCCAGACCCAGCTCTGCCCGTGAGAAATGTGACCCTGGAGGTCAGCCCGGCGCCCTGTGCCGAGAACTAGACCCACGGAGTGGCCGCAAGGGTGAGGTGGTCAGTGGCACAGAGGGGCGGGGGGCGATCCCATACGTGCAACGGGGAGCAGCCCCACCAGGCACCCACCATGCTGCACCCTGGTCCGCACGGCGGCCACGGGCACGCTGTAAATGCGCTCCAGGTAGTTCCTCAGGTCCACCCTGGTCATCCTGGGGGAAGAAGGACAGGGACATGTGAGCTGGGCAGGCGACAGCAGCCAGGCCTTTGGGGAGAGTCGCCGGGTGGCGGGGAGGATGGGGGCACGGCCTCCTCGGCCTCATCAGGGAGAAGCCACGCCGTGGCTAGGCTGGACCCCCCCAGGGCCAGCGGCGGGCCCCTCCCATCACTCCCACTGCCACGTCAGCGTGGGGGTGACGGAGGGACCAGGCCCCAGGCCCCTGGCCAGTCCCACTCGCCCTCCTACTGGTCCACGCTCACGAGAGGCCCAGCGGCCTCGCTGAGGGGAAGGCTCCCGGGGGAAGTGGTGGTCTGCGGGTGCCCCCTGGCTGCCGGGAGCCCAGCCGGCCCAGCGTCCAGCCCTGGGGGGGCCCCCCCCGTCTAGCTCCCACCCCACCTCGAGGTCCTGACCGGCCCTTGCAGAAAGTGACTGTCCTTGGTGGGTGAGGCCCGTTCCCTTTCGCCGTGAGCGCATCTGAAACTCGGGCCCCAGCCTCTCCTGCCCCTGCCAGCTCCCACGGGAGCGCGAGCCAAGCCTGGGCCCACCCCTGGGGCAGGCACACCCTGCCGTTCCCAGCAGCACCCTGCAGCTGTGGTGACAGGAGGCCCGGAGGAGCCACCTGGAGGAGCTGCTCTGGGGACCAGGCCTAGCCTCTGGGGAAGAGCAGTGACTCGATTCGCGGGAGGGGCAGGAGAGAAGCCCCCTTGGGCTCGCCCCCAGCTTCCCCAGGTGCCGGGGGCTGGCCAGGCTCGGCCTCGCACACAGCAGGCCTCCGTCAACATTTGCAGAGCCTCGTGGGGCTGCTGCAGGGCTTTCCGCGCGGCAGGAAGCCTCGCCCGCCCGTTCCTGCAGACTCACTCCATGGGGATCCGGAACTGCACGGTGTCCTCGGGCTGGGCTGTGCCGGGCCGCACCAGCTGAATGAAGAAGTTGGTGCGGAAGACACGGAGCTGCGGGTTGCCCAGCTGGTACAGGGGGTACCTGTGAGGGGGAGATGCGTGTCCACCGGGGGCCCAGAACGCCCCACAGGCCCCCATCTGCCCACCAGGTCAACGGGGGCAGGAAGCGAAGGGGGCAGCTCCCTGCAGGCCACTGCCCCAAGGTCCCCTTCACTCACGCACACGGGCTGCTGACCTCTGAGGCCAACCTTCGGAAAGCGCCAGCCAGTGATTCAAGAAACAAAGAGCCACAGAGAACAGGCCCCAGCCCCCAAACAGGCAGGCGGCCCCGGCATGGCGGTCGCCATCCCAGGGGTGGGCCCCCGCGGCCAGCCAGTGCGCTGGGGTGAGGTGGGATGGAGTCAGCTCACGGGCACAGGCTCAGCCCCGCAGTGGGGACGGGTCCCTTGCACACCCCCTGGGGAGGAGGACGCCAGCTCCTCCGGGACAAGAGTGAAGACGCAGGGTTCGGGGTACACGGTGTGTTCAGTTCCCCGCCCTGCCTCCTCCACCCCGAAATCCCCCAGGGTGGGCAGAGACCCACTGCCATCACTAAATGGACCCGGGCTCCGGGCCACACGGGCAGGCTGGGAGCCCAGGGGCAGAGCGTGGTGGAAGGTGGGTGCTGGGGGTCTCCCCGAGGGTCCCACCCACACCCTGGGACCATCTGCAGCACCCAGCACCGGAAGGGGCTCCGTGGGGCCGAATTCCACGCTGGCTCTTGCTTCCCAAGTCTGGGGGTGTGAGGAGGCCAGGGGGTCAGAGGGCCTGGTGGGGTGTCCTGAGGGGGGCCTGGCTGAGGCAGGAGCGGTGGGGGCGACTCCCCAGGGCAGGGCTCAGGCCAGGACACCTGAACTGAACGGCGGGGTACCATCCGCCGGGTGAGTGTGCGGGTGACCAGGTCGGCCTTTGTGCGGGGTTGGGCACCGGCAGGGGCGGGAAGGGAGCAAGTCTGAGGGTGCGAGGCCTGCTTGTTGGACCCCAAACTCCTCACGGGAGCTCAGGCTGACAGCGGGCCCCTCGTGGTGACCAATGGCAGCACTGCAGGGGCCAGCGGCTGGCCCCCGGGTCACGTGGGAGTGCGGGGGCCCTGGTTCAGACCCCCATCCCCGCC